TAATAGCAGATCAATAAGCTCTACGGATATTCTGGAAGCTTTCAAAGCAGCTTGCGACCCGAGGACAGAAACGGACTACTTGCCAGCTAGCGGCAATCCTCGCTTTTGCTTGAATTTTGCAACGTTGCTTCATCCCTGAAGCATGGCGCATTTATCACCAATACCGCCGTCAGTATCAACCGGGTCACACCGAATAGCTCACGACTCAAGTCAGTCAACGGATCGCACAATTGCACATCGCTGAACCACTGCCGCGTACCTTATCTGATGCTTCCAACCAACCGCCGCGACTCAGGCACCGAGTCCCTCAATTTCTGGGCCTGCCAACGCGGATGATCAGTGACAGGTGACAGCAGTCTCATGTCAACTCGACATGCGACCAATGGCTGCCCTCACCGTTACACCCTCCAGCGGCCCGCTGCAGTTCCCGGATTAGCGCATACTACGCAGTTATCTGGTTTCACCCAGGAGTCCTCACGAATGCCCTGAACGTGATCAAATTGCGACTTCAAAGATAACCAGAAGTCGCGTCGTCGTGTTCAGATGACGACTTCACCGATAAGATTGCGAGATACCCCTAGGCTAAGTGGTCCAGCGTTGGATACTTGATAAACATGTTTGCACTCTCTCAAGATGCAATTCACTCTCGACTCCGACACCCAATATCCCATTGATAACGCCTGAAGCCATGTCGAAACCGCTCAACGACGAAGCCTCCCCGCTTCTGCCCCGCGACGATGCCGGGTCCCACCAATCCAGCCCTTCCAACTCCTCCGACCCGTCCAACCTCGTCCTCTTCCGTCGCGCAGTGGGCATCAACGTCCACCTCCAACCCCAAGACGATTGCGATCTCGAGTCCGGCCGCATTTCCGCCCTCGGCATCTACGCGTCCACCATTGCCGCCCACCGTCGCGTCCGCATCTACCGCATCATCGCCACCGTCGTACTGTACACCTGCCATGCCACCCAGCTGATCACCGGTGCGGTGGTGGCCGCCATGGGCCCCTCCGCGGGCACGCACAGGAAGAGCATCACTGTTCTGGGCGCGATCAACACGGCAGTCGCTGGTGTGTTGACACTTATGAAGAGCCGTGGGCTGCCAGAGAAGCTGCGTCGCGACGAAGTTGAGTTCCGGCGCTTGCAGGACTGGATTGAGGAGACTGAAGCATTATTAATGCTGGGTGTCATTGGAGAGACGAGGGAGGAGGTTGGAGAACTCGTGGCGACGGCGTACAAGAAATGGAACTTGGCGAATGAGCGGGGAGAAGACATCAGGCCCGAGGGGTACTCCCGTGAAGAGGGAGACAAGAGCAAGAAGACGGGATTGAACTCCAAGTGGCTGCGCGGGTTGTGATGGTCCAAGTTATCATGCACCGGGCTTTGGTTATAATATCTCGATTTCATCACAATGTTGTATCATCTGCCAGCCACCTACAGCTTCGCCTTTACATCTTCTACCGGAAACATCCCCTGGTGTCTCTGCCCGCGATTCAACATCGGTATATCGCTCGTCACGCCCTCAATCTCGTTCTCGCACCACTCATGAAACCCAAACCCGTTCGCCAGCGCCCGTCCATATGCCTCGCCCCCATTCTCCCCAAACAGAATCTCCGGGTCGACAGTCCCCAAGCAGATGCTGTACCCGTCCTGGCCGCGGTAATAGAGCCACGAGCCGCAATCCCTGCAGAAGCCGCGCTTGGCGGCCGCCGAGGCGCCGTACTCGGCCAGGCTGGCGGTGGTGTCGGACGTCCAACGGAAGTCCGGCACGCGGTGAAACGCGGTGAAGAGCGCGCCGGACTGGCGGCGGCACTGGGTACATTGGCACGTCATTGCATTCTTGACGAAGTCGTGGGAGCCGGGAAGGGTGACGGTGTAGCGGAGCTTGGCGCAGAGGCAGCCTCCGGTGAGGGTTGTTGGCTTTGGGCCGAGGTTTGATTCGTCTGCCATGTTGAAGGATGTGGTTGATTGAACTGGCGCGATGAATGATTTCAGGTGGGACTTTTGCGCAGTATTGAGGATAGGGAGAGGTGGGAGTGCGAAAAAATATTGCTGTTGTTGGTTTTATGTAGGAGAAGTGGCGTCCGACGTCAGAATCGTCAACGGCGCCCTTCGGCGGGCGGCCGGGATCACGGGGCTGCCACCACCGCCACAACATGCCAGAACCATCAAATCGGTCATTATCATGTCGTAATATTCCTATATGCATTCTATACCGGCCGTAGCCAATCCTGGCCGTAGGTATCAACCCATCTAAACCGTCATTCTATCCTTTGCAAACCCGTATCATTCATCGATCCTCCTCGTCCTCCGCAACCCAATACGCCTCCACTTCAGCAATACACGTCTTCGCCGGGATCGTAACCGCGATCGGGAACCCGCCATAGTCCGGATCATCGTTCGGCATGATCAGAAACTCTCCGCTGCGCGTCTCATCACCATTAAACACCCGCAGTGTGCGTAGCGTCCCGTCCTCCGCGACCTCCTTCTCCGCCGCCGTCAGGATCCCCGTGAAGGTCGCCTCTTTGCGCACGCTCTTGAAGCTCACATTGAACCCGCGGCCCACAGCCAAAAACTTGGCGTCGCCGAGGTGGATGATCATGCCCCCGCCAGGACCAGCCTTCCCGAACACGAACGCGCGCTCGATGATGACCTCGATGTCGCCAAAGACCTTGCTCCACCGCTCGCCCTTGCCGGCGGGGTCCGCCTCCTCGTCGAAGAAGAAGCCCATGCGGTCTTCCGGCGCGGCGGCGAGAAGGAAAGGCGTGATTTGGGAGAGGAGCTTGTACTCGCGCCCCACGACGTCGGCGCCGGTGTCGATGCCGAAGGGCGAGGCGCCGAGGGCGCCGTAGGTGCCGTAGGAGAGCCACACTCTCCGGGCGCCGTTCTCGTCGCGGCGCTGCTCGGGGATGAAGAGCGGGTTGCCGGCGTGGGCGGTGTAGTCCCTGCAGACAGTCTCGTAGTTGTGGAAGTAGAGATCCGGCGCGAGGAAGTCGAGGGCCTTTTGGGCGGTGAAGATGGTGTTGAAGCGCCAGATGTCGAGGACGTGCGGGCAGGGCCCGCCGGAGGGGTAGACGCCCGGGTCGGCGCCGCCGCCGACGACGATGGGGACGCCGCGCAGGTCGAGGTCGGAGGCGTCGTCGAAGTTGAGCCAGGTGTTTGTGTACAGGGGGATGTCGTACTCGCGCTTGCCGGCGGCGGCGACGCGGCCGACGTAGGAGGAGATGTGGTAGGCCATGAAGGCCTCGTCGGCGGCGGTGCCGGGGCCGAAGACGGAGGTCCAGGAGTGCGTGCCCGAGGGCGGCGGGGTGGCGAAGCGGGCTTTGAACTTGGGGTGGAGGGTGTCCCGCTGGGAGTGGAAGTGCTGCAGGAGGGGTTCTGGGACGGGTTGGGCGAAGGCTGCGTCGGCGCGGCGGGAGCGGTCGCGGGAGTCGCCGAGGAGGCCTGTCTCGTTCTCGACCTGGACCATGAGCACGGTGTTGTGCTCTCCGTCGACCTCCTTCAGGTGGCGCATGAGGGCGGCGAAGGCTTTGGAGTCGGCCTCGCAGGCGGCGGTGCTGAGCGGGGAGACCATCTCGACGGTGCGCTTGCGGCCGCCGGCCTCGAGGACCTGGACGCGGGGGAAGCGCTTTGTGTCGCGCTTGACCCAGCCGGGGGCGTAGGTGGAGATGCCGTTCTTGTAGGTGCCGAACCAGAGGAGGACGAGGTGCATGTTGTGTTCGCGGGCGCCGGCGAGGACGGCGTCGAGCTCGGCGAAGGAGAAGGCGCCCTCTGTGGGCTCGATGTCTTCCCAGGTTATGGCGCCGAGGAGGGTGTTGATGTGGTTGTGCTTCATGGGGCCCCAGACGGAGGACATGAAGCGGGCGGAGGAGAGGGAGGAGTTGTGCAGCTCGCCGGCGAGCATGAGGAAGGGCTTGCCGTGGAGGATGAGCTGGGTGTTGCCGTTGGGGAAACGGTGGAGGTGGGGTGGTTTGGAGGCGTCGAGGGCCGTCATGATGGGCGAGTTTGGTGTTGTGTTTAATGTGTGTATAGGTGTGGTGAGGAGGGGGAAGAAACGAGGGGAGGAGGTGTGGTGGTGAGTGAGAGAGAGTGAATAGGTAGAGAGAAGAAGGATGGACTCTCAGAAACAATCGTGAGATTGAGAGAGGTTGAAGTAATGGCGTCTGATATCTCGAGTCAACATTATCCCGAGGATGTAAATGCAAGTAAGCTCCGTCATTCACCTATGTCAGTCAGGCCAGCTTGGGTTTATCGGAGCCGCACCAGCAGCAGCGTGACACCACCGCCGGGAGACCCTCCTTTTCGGATCCGCTCTACGTGAGGGAAAACCCGACGGCGCCAGCTCCTGCGGCCTGCCGCTCCAACGAGAGCCGCCATTCGTCCTCGCTGGCGGCGTTCGGAACGAACCCCAGCTCCACAGATTCAGTGAAGCGGGAACATGATTGCAGATCACCTGGTGGTTGGTTGGGGGTGGTGTGGCGCCACCGGAGACGGGCCGAGGGGAGATGCTTAGACTAGATGGGGGGTTGAAGAGCTTTCGGAAATACTTCGCATCTATTCAAAGTCCTTTGGATGTTTAGTTTCAAGGAACAAGAACCGGACTCAGTGTTGATGCATGAAATGAATGCTTGTTTCCCCGCAATCCAGTAATTGCCATATTGACGGAATTACGTCTGAAGTTCCATTACGCTGTGTGACTCTTTGCCGGAGTTGCATGGTGAACTGAAGCTGCGAAAGTCCGGAAATACTTCGCATTTACTCCCCCCCATGTCTGAGGCTTTGTTTGTCTCTCCTCATAACCCACATTGCCAAAAACAAAAAAAGTCTCCGCTGGTGGATGCGTGGAGTCTGTTCCATTGCAGCGGGGAACATCGGGCGGTCCTTGCACCACTCCTTGCACCACTTGCTGTGTCTTTGGCTGTCTCTTCCCACCTTCCCGGGAATATCATGTAATGTCTTATTCTCTTTGTATGTTTTTTTCATCTTATTTTACTCCTCTGGGGCTATTGTCTATTGCTCTGCGGGCTCTCCACCCCGGGGAGTCCCGGCCAACAATCGATATCATCCAGCTTCCTCAACAGCTTCTCCAACTTGAGCCGCGCGCTCTCGCTCACCAACGTCTCGGGGCCGCCACCACCATCACCGCCATCCCCGATGTTCATCTGCTCCATGTACGCCGCCCCGCAGTCGCGCAGCTTCGGGATCAGACTGTTCCCGTTCTGCTCCAGCACGTGCTGCGGCATATGATACAAAATCTCGAGCAGGTCGTCCACGATGCGCTGGTGCTCCGCGGCGCGCGTCTTCACCGTGCTGCCGAACTTCTGCAGCAGGTTCGAGCGGATGTTGAGGCTCGTGATGAAGAGGTTGGCGATCTGCGTGTCGTGGCCCTCGGTGATGTGTCCCGGGCGCGAGAGGCCGCCGCGCCAGCGGAGCTCGGGCGGGAAGCTGTCGATGATGGTCTGGATGCGCGCGAGGTAGTGCTTGAGGGCGTCTTCCTGGGTGCCGTAGACGCTGACGGGGGCGGTCTGGGCCTCGTGCCAGATGAGGAAGAGGTCGCTGAGGTGGTTGAGGCCCGGGACGTAGGAGGTGGTGTCGCCGTGCCAGGGGGCCAGGCCGTCGGCGGGGGAGAGCTGCGGGCCGGTGTCGAGCTGGGAGTCGGAGAGGGGGAGGGGGCGGAGGTGGGCGCGGTTTTCTTGGTGGGAGACTATGGAGACGGAGAGGCGGCCGAAGATGTCTGCGCTGCTGTATTGGGGAAACGGGGAATAGTGTTAGAATGAGTAGTAGGGTGTGGAAAAGGTCAACCGGTGGTGGTGTCGTCATCCCATGTTGAAGAACACCCTCCATCATGCATGGATGTTTATCCCAAGGTTGCATACAGAGTAATATGGTGGGGGGATGGGGATGCTACGTACCAATACGCCGCAAAGATCAGCCAGAAGAGCCGCTTCAGCAGCTGCTGCTCGGACATATCCAAGTCAGCCATGCGGTAATACGCAAGAAACCTCGCCCCCGCCGCAGCCTCGGACATGCCGTGGAACGAACCCATGTCGCCCAGCCCGTTCTCGTTCATGGAGGAGGCCGAGGTGCCGATGTTGTACATGGCGATGCACCAGTCGAGCGAGTAGGCGGGCTTGCGGATGCCGTGGTCGAGCAGGTGGTGGTCCTCGATGAAGTCAAGGCAGCCCTCGACGGTGACGGGGTGGTAGTCGGCGCGGCGGAGGGTGGCGACGGTCGCGGCGCAGACGCTGACGACGAGCGCGCAGAAGGTGCGGTCGGAGGCGGCCTCGCCGGCCTTGAGGCGGTGCATGAAGCGCCTCCGGTGCAGGACGGGCGCGAGGGAGTGCACTTTTTCGAACCAGTCGTGCAGGATGCGGTGGACGAGGGCCTCGGGCGCGAAGAGGGCGAGGTAGTTGCTGGTGCTGGTCGTGCCGTGGCCCGGTCCCGACCCCGTGGCGGGGCTCGGGGCGCCGATGAGGGCGCGCAGGTCGGGGACGGACGAGGCGGAGGAGGATGTTGCTGCTGCTGCTGTTATTGTTGCTGCTGCTGCTGCGACGGCGGAGGCGGATATGTGTGAGTGGGAGCGCGGGGTGGTGTGCGTGTGGGCGGATGAGGAGGCGGGCGAGGTCTGGTAGGCGAGGTTGAGGTCCGGCGAGGTGATGTCCGATGCCGAGGGGCTTTGTTGGTTAGATGGCCCGGGTAAAGCCTGCTGCTGCTGATGAGCCTGGAGTTGGTGTTGTTGCTGTGCATGTCTGTTTGATATTGGTCAGTGTAAGTGGTCAGGGGTGGTGTGCAACAACAACATCGGATGTGTGTGCTGCAGACCGGGGGTGGGTTAGGTTGGACGGAACTTGTTCGGCGGCCCTCTCCTCCGCCGCGGCCGGTCATGTGTGCAGTGGATGTCGAGGAACGAGCAGCCTTGGCAACGGGTCTCGCCCGCTCCGTACAGACACTGCCGATCAGTCAGTCAGTTGAGCCGGCCGGTGTGCTGATGTTAGTTCTTCATGACATGTTACGTGACATACACTGTATGGTTAATGAAAACACGACAGACAGTTACTGGGCAGAAAAAAAGAACAAAAAGACTCCTTGGGAAAATCGTCTCACCCTGACTTTGCGGGCCCGGCATGCGTCGCAGGCATTCTGGTTCCTGATGATCTTGGTCCTCGGCCTGCCGCTGGCGGGCGACGCCGGGGATGTCGAAAGTGGAGAGCGAGACCCGTTTCCGTCCGGTGGTTGCGGTGGTGGTGGTGGTGGTTGCTGCTGCTGCTGATGTTGTACTGCTCGGTCGATCTCCATGTCCATGGTATGTAGTCAAAGCAGTCAGCCGCTCCCGGAGGAGACCAGCCCAACCCAAAACCAGATCCAATGCCGAGGAGGCGCAAGATGGATAGCCGGGCAGACAAAAAAAAAAAGGCGCCCTGCCGTGCGTCGTGCTACGGTGACAGTAAACGGCAATCAACCGCCGCCGCCGCACACAACTCACGGTAACATGAACCTACACAATCTGCAACCTTCACCCGAACAACTCGTGGTGGAAACGGCCCGCCCCTCCCAATTGGCGAACTTGTGGAGAGAGACAGCTTCAGAAAGGGTTCTCGAAGCTGGTAGGCCGAAGCAGAAGCTTGAGATGGATCCAGTCCGTCAAAACGTGGCCCGCATGGGTCCTTGTTGATTGATTTGGTCCCGGTCGGCTGGTGTGCGGTCGGATTTTCCCTTTGGGCGTGGCGAAAGACGAGACAGGCTGGGGAAAAGATTGGCGGGTTGGAGAGAACAGACAAGGCACAGCTGCGACTTGGGAGTGGTGTCTCGAGACATCCGAGGAGAATTGTCGGGCCATCCAGAGCATGCAGAACGGCTCTTCAGTGTTCGTTTTCAAATGCTTCCCCTGCTGGTATCCGTAGCGAAAACCTTCCACCCCTCTCGCCTCGCATATACGTCGGAGTAACTCCCATCCCCCCGTAGAACGTGGGCTGCCAGACGGAGTAAAGAGGCTCTCGGAAGACTAAAGCGACCAGGGGATGTCCCCGCACTGGGGCGTCACAAATCGAGTCATGGTCCAGACCGTAACGCGCATAGCTCCAGTCGATGCAGCAGACTTTGAGTTGCAGAGTGTACACCAAACTCTATCATTACCCTCGCAACTCGACTTGTTGTTTCTGTGTACAGAGTAGATGTTAGTAATAGTGCAGCAAGTCGTCGTCGTATTCTGCGTCGCCGCTCCCCCAGACAATCCATTCCGCGCAGCTGGGTTATGTTGGCGGCACCCCTGACTAGCCAATTCGACCACGCCATCACCACACGCAAAAACCGACATCCGTAACCCGGTGTCAGGGCCCTCTCTCTCTCACCACCTGTTCCCGTGCGATTCCAATGCGCAAAGGAGCTGAGCCTTTTACCCCAGGGCAAGCTGCAAGATGTGGAGTCTAATATTGGGTCCCCCTTCCCGTCCGCCTTTCCCCTTCGTGAGAAACTGTTCCCACCCCCACGGGGCACCCTTCGTCTGTACTCGCTCCAATGACGATCTAGTCTCGTGATTGCACCTGGCCTTGACAACCGCCCCTCCCCGTAATACCCCCCCTTGGAGAAACGAACCGCCGCTTGGTGACGCCGTCGTCCCAACGTCCTGCCATTGGACGTGCGTGGTCTGTTGTCTTGGAACCCGTCATCGGGGGTAAACGACCCTCGGCTCTTTGTCGGGTGGCCTGTTGTTCTGCCCTTGGCTCGAAGGGGGCACCAGGCAATTAGTTGGAAGGTCCATTGGAGCCAGATTCGGCATAAGGCGGCGTGCAATATCGAGATGCCATGCTGCTTGCTGCTGTAGCCCGGAAGTCGGAATTTGCTATAAGTACACTCGGAGATCTCTTGACTTCCCAGGAGGATGGAAACGGGGAGACACGCGGCAACCCCAGTCTAGTCCGGCGACAACAAATCCATCTTCTCACTCACACAGCTCGGTTCTTAACATCTCTCGTACGCCATGGAGCTGAAGCAGTCAGAGAGCCATGGTGTAGACCATGTCGACATCACGCTGGAACCACGCCTCGACGCACCCGAGGGATCGCCTCTGCCGTGGTACAAGCAACATGAGCTCAGGAAGCTGTACTTCATGATGGTCTTCCTCTTCCTGGGATCGACGACACTAGGCTACGACGGAAGCTTGCTCAACGGGCTCCAGACCATGCAGTCATGGCAGTCTTGTAAGTCTTGTCTTGCTCCTCTACCATATCCAGCCCAAAGGAGCACTCCCTATTTCGTAACATCTAGTTGAAAGTGACATCGCGACAACAAGCTGACATCGTCTCACTCAGATTTTGACCACCCGACCGGAAGCCGTCTCGGCATCTTTGGCGCCATGCCCGGCTTCGGCGGCCTCTTCGTCCTCCTCTTCGCCCCGTATATCGCCGACGGCCTCGGCCGAAAGACTGGCACCGCCGTCGGATGCGTCTTCGTCGTCGCCGGCGCTCTGCTGCAGGCCTTCCCCAAAGAGGGCGCGGGCAGAGACGCAATGTATCTCATCGGCCGCTTCATCATGGGCGCGGGCTCCAACATCTCCAACGGCACGTGCCCGCTGCTCATCACCGAGGTCGCGCATCCGAGACATCGCGGCAAGGTCACGACTCTCTACAACACTCTCTGGTGTAAGAAGAAAGTCCCACTTGGAGAAAAAGTGCATCGCTGACAGTTTGAAATCAGACCTCGGTTCGATCATCGCAGCCTGGACTTGTAAGTCGCCCACACCAACACCCCCTTTGCGCACTCCCTAACAGCCTCACCAGGCTTCGGCACACTTACGCAGCAACACGGTGACATCCAATGGCGCCTGCCCACCGGCCTCCAGTGCATGATGCCCGGGATCCAGCTGCTCGCCGTGTGGTTCCTGCCCGAGAGCCCGCGCTGGCTCATCAGCAAGGGCAAGGAGGAGCAGGCCAAGCGGGTGCTCATCAAGTACCACGGCAACGGCGACGAGACGGACGCGTTCGCGCACTGGGAGTTTGCTGAGATCTCGAGCACCCTCAAGCTGGAGAGGGAGGCGGCGGCGAACAGCGGGTGGATGGAGCTGGTCCGCACGCCGGGTAACCGCAAGCGGTGCGCTTTGATCATTGCGACGGCTATCTTCTCGCAGTGCTCTGGAAATGGCCTGGTTTCGTATTATCTGAGTGGTAAGTATTGATATATGTTTTGTGATAGTGTGGACGTTAACTGACGTTCGAGGCAGTTATTCTGAATACTATCGGTATCAAGGAGTGAGTTGCACCTTTCGAAAGACTTGCGATATCATGCTGACACGGTTCTTCCACAGCTCGATCACACAGTCGTACATCAACGGTGGCCTTACCATCTGGTCATGGCTTGTGTCGCTCACCGCCGCATTCTTCGTCGACCGAATCGGACGCCGCGTTCTGTTCCTCTTCGCCGGCATTGGCATGCTGCTTTCCTTCTCCGTCTGGACGGCGTGTAGCGCAGTCTACGCTCAAACAGAGTCGTCTTCGGCTGGCATCGCTGTGGTAGCGATGATTTTCGTCTTTTACGGTATGCAAAAAAACAACTTCTACGATGAAAACATCCCTTGCTGACAAAACTTCTCAGGTGTCGCTGGCGCTGCTTGGCCCGGTCTGACAGTCTCTTACACCGTCGAGATTCTCCCCTACAACATCCGCGCCAAAGGTCTCACGCTGTGCTTCTGCTTCACGGCGCTGAGCGGTGTCTTTAACCAGTGGGTCAACCCGCTCGGAATCGAGCAGCTGGAATGGCGTTTCTACTTTGTGTACATTGCCATGTAAGTGTCATACCCGATTCTGTGTGCGGGACATTTTGCTAATCAAGGCCGTCAGCTTGGTTATCGAGGTTTTGGTCATTTACTTCTTCTTTGTTGAGACCAGAGGCCCCACGCTGGAGGAGATTGCGGTGCTGTTTGACGGCAAAGACTCCGCCGCTGGGGTGGCGAGGCATGAAGCCCAAGCGCAAGCTGAGAAGGTCGAGAAGAGAGAGTCGGCGTGAGAAAAGTGAAAGGTTCATGGAGAAGTCAAATAGGAGTTATGGAGTTCGAGTTTGGTCTCGGACTAAACGAAACGGGAGGAATAGTTGTCTTGAATGATACCAACAGCAGTACCGTTTAGTACGCATAAGCAGAAGATGTGGCCTCATTATGTTCCATAATTACGCTTGACTATTTTGGCAACTTTCCTAGCAACGAGCGACAAGGTGTTAAGAAGCTGACATAGACTCAGGAAATAACACCCTAAACCAGAGCATAGAAAATCATTACTACGGCCCTGTCTCTTGCACCGAACCTTCGCGTTTCACTACCTAGTAGCATCCTAATCGATAATCTAGTGCAAAAAGCTGAGTAAAGTCTACTCTTTGCATGTATCTCAAGCTCCAGGGCAGTACGAGAAAGCCACAACCCGGCACTGTAATGAATGAGAGGGCAAAATGATTATATCCAGTTCAATTTTCAGCAGTGAGCTACCATCTATGTGACTCTACAGAACCAGACCCATACACTAGGAAATCCCAAGCACGCTATTCCGCACTGATGCCGACAGCCGGGTCACCAGACCATGCCGCCGGAAGATCTCATCAACCACAACGAACCGCTTACTTGCAGACGGGGATGTTGATGACCTGGCCCTCCTGGAGGAGGAGGGGGTCGACACCCTCGTTGGCGGCGAGCAGGGCGTTGACGTCGAGGCCGAGATCGCCGGCGACGATGAAGAAGGTGTCGCCCTTCTGGATGGTGTAGGTGGCGGGGCCGCCCTCGACGCAGGTGGCGGTGCCAGGCTTGGACAGGCAAGAGGTGTTGTCGGGGTTGCAGATGTGGGTGGGGACCTTGAGGACCTGGCCGAGAAGGATGAGGTTGGGGTTCTCGAGGCTGTTGAGCTTGGCGATGTCGCAGATGCCGGAGCTCAGCTTCTGGGAGATGATGGTGAGGGTGTCGCCGGAGACGACGGTGTAGTCGACGACGGGGCCCTGGGAGCAGGTGGGGGTGGCGGAAGCGGTGGCGGAGGCGGTGCCCGTGGGGGTGACCTGGGTGGGAGTAGCCTGCTATGTGGGTTGTTAGCAAGAATGGTCTTGGGTGTTTGTGTTGTTTGCAGATGTGTGGTGGAAGAGAGCTCAAAGAGCTGATCCCGGGGAAATG